CCTCTACTTTCAAGCGATTCTCCTGCCTCAGCCTCCCGAGTAGCTGGGATTACAGGCATGCCACCATGCCTGGCTAGTTTTTTGTATTTTTAATAGAGACAGAGTTTCACCGTGTTAGCCAGGATGGTCTCACTCTCCTGACCTTGTGATCCACAGGCCTTGGCCTCCCGAAGTGCTGGGATTACTGGTGTGAGCCATCATACTTGGCCTCATTGTGGTTTTAATTTGTATTTCCCTGATGACTAGTGATGTTGAACATCTTTTCACGTGCTTATTATACCTTCTTCAGTCAAGTGTCTGTTGACATTTTTATCCCGTTGTTTTTCGTGGATGTTTGTCTTACCAAATTGTGAGAGTTCTTTATATGCAATATTGTAGATATAAGCTGTTTACCAGATAGATGTTTCACAACTATTTTCTTTCACCTACTGGCTTGTCTTTTCCCACCTTAACTCTTTCTTTCTTTTTCTTTTTGAGACAAAGTCTCGGTTTGTCCCTCAGACTGGAATCCAGTGGTGGGAACCTGATTCACTGCAGTCTCGACCTCCCTGACTCAAGTGACCCTCCTGCCTCAGCCCCACAAGTAGCTGGGACTACAGGCGGGTACCACCACACTTGGCTAATTTTTTTTTTTTTTTTTGTAGAGATGGTTTTGCCATGTTGCCCAGGCTGGTCTTAAGTTCTGTAGCTCAAATGATTTATCCGCCTTGGTGCCTCCCAAAGTGCTGAGATTACAGGCATGAGCCACTGCTCCTAAACTGTATCTTTCCAAGAGCCAACATTTTAATTTTAGTGTTTTTTTTTGTTTTGTTTTGTTTTGTTTTTGAGACAGTCTCACTCTGTCACTCAGGCTGGAGTGCAGTGGCACGATCTTGGCTAAGTGTAATCTCTGCCTCCCGGGTTCAAGGGATTCCCCTGCCTCTAGCCTCCCGAGTAGCTGGGATTACAGGCATGTGCCACCACATGCCTGTAATTTTTGTTATTTTTGTTATTTTTGGTAGAGATGGGGCTTCGCCATGTTGGTCAAGCTAGTCTTACTCCTGACCTCAGGTGATCCACCTGCGTTGGCCTCCCAGAGTGCTAGGATTACAGGCATGAGCCTCCTCGCCCAGCCAACATTTTTAAGTTTTGATAAATGTTTTTTTCAGTTTTGTCTATTATGGCTCCTGCCTTTTGGAACTTATCTTTAAATGTTTGATGGAATTTACCAGTGAAGCCATCTGGGCCTGGAGTTTTCTTTGTGGAAAGGTTTTTAATTATTTTATTTATTGATTAAAATTTTTTTGATCTCTTTTTAAAATTTTCATCAAGTTTCTAACAAAGTTTTAAATACTGAATTGTTTTCCTTGATTGATACGGAGCTATTCAAGTTTCCTATTTCTATTTGGGACAATTTTGGTAATTTGTGTCTTTTAAGGAATTTGTTCATTTCATTTCACTAGTGAAATGTATTTACCTAAGGCTGTTCATATTATTTTCTTATCCTTTTACTCTCTTTGGAGTCTAGTGCTGTGCCACTGCTCATTTCTGATAATGATAGTTTTGTCTTCAATTTTCTTTATTAAAAAAAAATTTTTTTTTTGAGACGGTCTCACTGTGTAGCCCAAACTGGAGTGCAGTGGCGTAATCTCGGCTCACTGCAACCTCCACCTTCAGGACTCAAGTGATTCTTGTGCTGCCTCAGCATCCCGAGTAAATGGGAGTACAGGTGCGCACTATTAAGCTCAGCCTTTTTTTTGTATTTTAGTAGAGACAGGGTTTCACCATGTTGCCCAGAGTGGTCTCGAACTCCTGAGCTCAGGTGATCTGCCCCGTTCAGTCTCCCAAAGTGCTGGGATTATAGGCGTGAGCCACCACGTCCGGCCAGTTTTCTTTATTATGATGTTTTATATTTAATTGATTTCTGTTCTCTGTGTGTGTGTGTGTGTGTGTGTATATACATATATATATATATACGTGTGTGTATATATATATATATAATTTTCACTCTTGTTGCCCAGGCTGGAGTGTAATGGTGTGATCTTGGCTCACTGCAACCTCCGCCTCCCGGGTTTAAACTATTCTCCTGCCTTAGCTGCCCAAGTACCTGGGATTACAGGCGCCCACCACCACGCTCAGCTATTTTTTGTATTTTTAGTAGAGACGGTGGTCTCACCATGTTGGCCAAGCTGCTCTCGAACTCCTAACCTCATGATCTGCCTGCCTCGGCGTCCCAAAGTGCTGGGATTACAGGCGTGAGCCAGCATGCCCGGCTTCTCTCTCTTTTTTTAAAATCGATTTCTGCCTCTGTGTGTGTGTGTGTGTGTGTGTGTGTGTGTGTGTGTGTGT